GGAAGGAAGGAAGGAAGGAAGGAAGGAAGGAAGGAAGGAAGGAAGGAAGGAAGGAGAAGAGAAGAGAGAAAAGAAAGAAAGAGAAAGGAAGAAGAGAAAGGAAGAAGAGAAAGAAAGAAGAGAAAGAAAGAAAAAGAAAGAGAGAGAGAGAGAAAGAAAGAAAGAACAGTGCAAACACTGCTGCCCCTGTTGTCTTCCTTTTGGGATCTGCCACTGACTGGGGCTGTGTGATGTCACCTGAGCCCAAGGTCACCCAAGCCAGCCCAGTCAGGTTGCTCACCTGCAGAATGGACATAATGTAGAAATGAATAAAAGACCCAAACATTGCAATGTGGTCTATGAATATGAAGACTCCATTTAAAGACCACTTCCTTCCCCTTGGGAGACCAAGCTGCGGAAAGAGCTCTGCCTACACCATTACCCCCTCAGCTCCATTTCTGGGCTTGCTACTGGGCTCCTCGCCCCAGCCGCCCCTCCTCCCGTCCCATCTCAGAGTGGAGTGAGCTCCAAGCACACGCAGTGGGGATAGCCAAGGCCTTGCCCTGCTTCCTTTCCAGCGGGATCTGAGTCGTGGCCCCCTTTGCCTCCCGTGGCTGCAGCCCAGACCTACGTTTCTGGAACCCTCCGTGCTGTCTGTGTGCTGCCTTCCTCGCTCCCTTTCTTACTCTTTTCATTCTGTGCCAGGCAGAGAATATTTAGCTCTTTTAATCTTGCTTCATAAATCATTCCTGCAAGTCAAGTCTCTAAAAACGTTGCCCCTGAAGTCCCTCCAGACCATCTCTAAAATATTTACTCCTGGAAAATACACCATGGCCAATCCAGCCTGTGACGGCTGCCTTCAACGCCAGGAAGAAGACAAGGAGGCCGCAGCGGAGTAAGAAAGGCCAGGCCCTCCCAGTCTGTGCAGACGCCGTGGCCCCCTTTCTTCTAAAGATGCTAACACAGGGACCAGCAGACGGTGTCACGGTCACATCACTGGACTCCCACATGGCTGACCATGGTTCAAGTCCTGGACCCAGAGGCCTGAAACTAATGCCAGGCACGTGTGCGTGCGTGCCCGAGTTCCCAGGTAGAGAATGGAGGAGAAGGGATTGCGGCATGGCCATCCCCACTGGGGGCGGGGAGGGCGATTTCTTACTTTCTGTCTCTCTGACGAGCACACACATCCCTACAGCAAAAATCTCTCAAAAAAAAAAAATTGCTAAAACAGCATTGACAGGTTTGGAATGTAATTTACTTTGCAGTCTTCACCGTAAAGGCATGATCAAATGAGTGAGGGGGTAAGCTCTAGTACCTGAGTGTACGAGTTAAAATCCCGGTTTCAGCCCTTATTGGATGTAGGATCTTGGCCAAGTTACTTAACTTCCGTGTGCCTCACCATCCTCCACCGTAAGATGGAAACGGTAGGCGTGTGCCTCACACGGCAGTTCTGAGAATTACATGAGATACTGCAGGTCAAGTTCTCAGCCTGGTGCCTGACGCCTGGTAAGTGCTTACTATCTGCTGGTTGCTATAGTGGTTTCCCGTGGCTTACACAGCAACCTTGCTCTTTGTCATTATTATTAGGGGAGCTCTGTTTTTCTGCCAGTTATGTTCCGGTTTTAAAAAATAATAGTAACTGTTTCTGTCTTCCTTTGCAGCCAGAAATAGTCTGTCTTCCCAGGAGACATCAGCTGGAGTCATGGGTGTGCTTTTTGAGCAACTTGTTAAAGGGAGCAGACTGAATTGCACGTTGAGGTCTGCCTTCCTCCTCTTCCTCTTCTGTTTTTGTTGAGGATGTAAATGTGATACCTGGAGCTCCTGCAGCCAAATTGTGACCATGAGCCCAATTGAAGAATGGCAACCACACACTCAGGGTGATGTGTCAGAAAGAGAACAGGAGGCTGGGTCTCTTCTTCTAGGCAATGTGTGGAGCTGCCATTCCAGTTCTGGATCACTTGCCTTTAACCTTCCTGTTAGCAAAGAAATAAAATAAATAACCACTTAATCTACATCAGCTCTGTTCATCAGGTTCCTATTGCTGGCAGCCTCGTGCAATTTCTAACTATAAGGTTAGGATACAAGCAATAGGTTCTGCCTGATAGGAGCAGCTCCAATTATAGCTGGATAAAATTCTGAAGTTTATGTTTATTTAACTTCATTTGTTATTATTATTACATTTCCAGTTCGATCAGAGAAAGACAGAGAGAGAGAGGGAAAGTGAGAAAGCAAGCCACCAGGTCCAAGATTTGAACCATAGTCAGCCATGTGGGAGTCCAGTGCCTTTAACCACCATGCTACCTGCTGGCCCCTGCAGAACACAGTTTAAAAACCATTTCAGGAGGGCCAGCAGATGGCATGGTAGTTAAAGGCATTGGACTCCCATATGGCTGACCTCCATTTAAGTCTCGTACCTGGTGGCTAATTTTCTCACTTTCCCTCTCTCTCTGGTGAGCACTCATGTCCTGTAGCAGAACTTAAAAAATAATAAAATAATAATTTTTAAAACTAAAAAAAAAAATGTGTTCTGCAAAAGCTGGAAAGGGGGGGTGGGTCCATGGAGCTTCCTCTCAGAATGGATATTGGGGTAGGAGAGTTTGGGGACATGCTGCCTCTTTCTACCTCATCTTCTGTCCAACTTTGTTTTAATTCATTGTGGGCAGAAAGGTGGCCCAGTTAGGCTTTGTTTAAAGAACAGATTTCTGGGCAAAAAAATAAAAGGTTTGGAAACCACGGTTCTTGTCCAACCCCCTCATTTTACAGATGAGTGATCTGAGGCCCCAGAAGTGCCTTGCCCAGTCAAACTCGGCCAAGCAGAACCAAGAGGAGAACCCAAGTTTTCTACTCTTTCCGAGGTCTCTGCCAAGTCCTGGAACTGCCACAAAAAAAAAACGCAGATCCAAAGAGTTTACAATCACTGATGAAGTCCCAGCCCATCAGGCCTGAATGGGCTGTCCACTCTTGGGAACTGGACAGGCCCCTCCTGTTAAAACTAATGAGGGCTGGGAATGCCCTTTCAGGGCCCTGGACAGCCAACTTGCCCTCCTGCTGAGACAAAGTTGGACCCAGTTTCTCTCCTCCCCCTATAGTAATTCATTAATTGTTTGTTTATTTTCTTACAAGCACACACACACACACACACACACACACACACACACACACTGGATGTGTGGAGGAAAGGGGGTGAATGAGTGGCATGAAATCCTCAATACATGGGGATTGTTCCTGTTCTCGTAGTTCTCCTTTGCAAAGTGCTTGCTGAATCAATTCAAGAGCAATGGCTGCTAGGTTGCAGCTGTAAACACCAACTTCATTCAAGGTCAATTAGAGCAGCCCAGTGTTCTCCAACAGGAAGTTGAACTATGGGAGGGGTGGGAGGGTGTTTATCAAGGAGCCTTCAATAGCTGTTTAGAGGCTCTGTCCTTGTGGACCTGCCCTGTTTGGGCACAGTCGGTCAACTCAGTAGGAAATCATTTGCCATGTGAGCAGAATAACCCGATATTGTAAGGGTCCTGACTAGCGCCTTTCAAGATGTTAACGAAAACGTCTTTTTCTTTCTTTCATCCATTCTATCCACCCACCCACCCAGCTAGTCAGCAATTATGCATGGAGGCCTACTCATGAATCCAGCACTGGTTCAGAAGAAAACAGGCAAGGTCTTCAGCTGGCGTTTACCTGGGGCATGGAAGGACCGGAAATGAATGTGCAAGCAGCAGCCACACAACGGAGACCGTGGCAGGGATGTCGCTCATCAGGGGAAGCAGCCAGAGAGGCCACACTGCACCCCTCCACGAGGACAATGCAGCCCCCTACTCTCAGCTCCCCGCACCTTACCCCCAAGACTGACGTAGGGCTGTATGAGTTAAAGGGGCTAATCGGAGTGCTTACTTACTACCAAGTTCCAGGCCTAGACTCTTCTGCTTCATTTTTTGGGGAAACAGGCTTTCCCCCCACCTCCAGGTGCCCACTGGATGGCAGGGGTCCCAGAAGCTCTCGAAGAAGCCCAGGGACAGGGCTACTTAAAGACTTTTAACCATAAACTGTGAACATTTCTGTGCGATCTAAAACAAGAACGGGCATAATGCAACTCATTCACTGGCAACTACTTGAAGGTGGTAGAGGGGGCTTGTAACAGACACTAGACTTAGAAAATGAAGGGCCACCTGGGCCTCCTCTGTGGCCTCAGCTTCCAGAGCAAGCGCAGCTATTGCAGCTGGCCCTTCATTTCCTTTGAAAATATGAGCAAGCATGGGGCCAGCAGGTGGTTAAGGGCACTAGTCTCCCACATGGCCCACTGTGGTTCAAGTCCCAAGCCTGGTGGCTTTCTTTCTCACTTTCTCTCTCTCTCTCTGTCCCTCTCTGGTCAAATTAAAATAAATAAAGTGAAATGAAATAGTTTTAAAAAGAATTACTTAGCACAATTTTTTTTAAATAAGTAAATGACAACAGAAGGAAAACCTCAAGAATAGACCCTCTCTTGATGAGTTCAGCAATGACTCTAGAAGGAAGCTGGGAAGCAGGATCAAGGAAATGTGTTTTTGTTTTTTCAGGATAATAAATCCTGACCTCAGAGGGGAGGTAGATGCAGTGGCCAGAATAATGGCCTTCAAAGACGTCCCTGTCCTAATGCCTGAAACCTGCATATATTCTCCTAGCAAAGGGGAGCTAAGATTGCAGATGGAATTAAGGATGCTTACCAGCTGACCTGGAAATAGGACGATTATCCTGGATTATCCAGATGGGCTCGAAGTAATCACAAAGATCCTTAAAGAGAGGAAAACGAGAGAGAACACAGTGTCAGAATGATGCAGTCTGAGAAAGACTCAAGTGGCCAATGCTGGTGTGGTGCATGAGGAAGAGGGTCACCAACTGAGAAAGGCAGGTGGCTTCTAGAAGCCAGAGAAGACATGGAGCTGGACTTGCCCTCAGAGCCTCCAAAAGGAATGCAAGCCCCACCGACACCTTGAATGTAGCCCCATGAGGTGTGTGTGTGTGTGACTTCTGAGCTGTGGAACTATAAGATAAACAGATGTTGCTGTAAGTCATTACACTTTTGGCGATGTGTTACACCAGCCATGGGAAACGAACGCATTGGGGTATTGCAAAGTCAGGGACGAGTAAAAGGCAGGAGGAAGCCAAGAGGATAGAGACGGTGGTAATGTGCTAAGAGCACTAGTCAGAAACCCAGCTGATGCGTGAAATGGCAGGCTGTCAGCCAGCTGACTGCAGAGCCACAGGCAGGTCCTCCCTTCCCTCTCTGGGCTTCAGTTCTTCCATCTGCACATTGGGAGTACTGGGTGGACGACTTCTAAGGGCCCGCCCGTTCTGACGCTCCAGCACCACGGGCTGGCCTCAGGCTTTGCAGCTGCAGTCTCTGAAACAGCGCACCTGTTCCTGTAAGGGGTGCTGATGTCATCTCTGGCTTGTCAGAGAGACTGTCCTACCCTGAGATGGTGGCAAAAGTTCAGCCTTTGTCCACAGAAGAAAATAGCCAAGGAGAGATGGAAAAACCCTGTTATCATCATCATCACCTAATATCTCCCCAGACCCCTGAAATTCCTCCATTGAGTTTAGACACAGAAAGCATCTACTTGGGGACCAGCGGTTGGCATAATGGCTATATCGCTTGACTCCCATGTAGCCGACCGCGGTTCAAATCCTGAATCCAGTGCCTTAAACTCATGTGCATGCCCAAGATCCTGAGAGGAGAATGGAAGAGAAGGGATTGCAGTGTGGCCATCCCCCCAGGGGGTGATTTCTCACTTTCTCTCTGTCTCTTTCTCTCTGCCTGGTGAGCACACGCGCCCTATAGCACAACCTCTCAAAAAAAAAAAAAAGCATCTGCTTGACGGAGACTCCACCACTCCAGAACGTTCCCCCAACAGGCAGACATTGCAAACAAGTATTGGCTTCAGTTCAGAACCCTCCTAAGCACAGTGGCCCCTGTGGCCCCTGCCTACTGAGCAGCACTGGCAGGTGGGGTGACGTCTTTGGCAGCCTTGGGTTGAGATATGGCTGATGCCAGGATTCTTCTCAAAATCATAAACACCTCTGAGATTAGGTAAGACCTTATAATGATTTCAGTCACGAACAGCAAATTGTGGGTCAATTAGTTCACCATGGTTCCAGTCGTGGTTCCTGGTTTTAAACAATAGAGACCAGCTCTGGCCAGCTAAGAGAAAACACCAAATCCCTACCAAAAGGATCGGGTCGCTCGCATAGCTGAAAGTGAAGCAGAGAAAAAAGCAAGAGCATGGAAGTTGATAGAGGAACACAGTCACATTCATGCCACAGGACAAGGTGGATTAAGACATCACTATTGGCACACTGGGTACTCCCCAGCCCAGCTACTACACTGGCAGCTCAGGCACCGCCACCCTGAATAACCTCTGCCTAAGTCCACCTCTTCAGATCCAAAGTCCCAAGAGCGAGAACCGGTTGCCTGAGCATAGGTTAGGTGCTGCCCCCTAGTGGCCCAGAACAGAAAGAAGGCCTTGCCTCACCGGCTTCTTCAATGAGCTGCACCCACCGGATATCCCCAACTTCCCACCTTCACCCACACTGTGGAAGAACCCCTCCTAGTATCAAGTGCCTTCATATGCTAAATCCTCCTGAAAGGATAGAAGGTCTCCTGCACTGAGGTAACTTAGACGTTCCTCTAGAAAAGACTTTTGAAATCTACGAATTCAACATATCTGTTCCAGCAGCTCAGGGGGGCCGCTTAGCATTGCAACTGGGTCTACAAAGCTGGCTCCCAGCCTCCCCTTCAGTCATCTTTCTGCCCCACTGTCCCATCCTTCAGCCTGCGACTGCCCTGCTCCAGCAAAAGATCAGAGGCAGACGACAGGGACGTTGCCATGGCAACCAAAAGTCACAGCTTTCCCAAAACTGGATGAATTTGTTGAGCTTTTGTAAGAAGGGATGAGTAGTAGCTCTATGTGAATTAATCTGTACACCTTTGTAAACATAACTTGCTGATGAACACACTTACAACCCAGTGAGTAAGACTTTGCCGGCTTCTGTTTTCTAGTATGTTCTTTCTGAGAAGATGATGGCCCTAGGATTTGATCCCTGGGGGAGCAGCTCTGTCTGGACACCACAGTGAGAGTTCCCAGGCAGCAAGCAGCAGGAGGGCCAGCATGTCTGATGTGGGAGTGGGAAGAGCAAGCAGGAGGGCACCTCCCAGGAGGAGGAGGTTCAGGGATGGAGCTGGAACTTCTAGTGACTTCATTATTTTTCAGCAGGCTGGCACAGCAGCCCTGTGTCTTGGCTGGACAGGGCAATTAACAGCTCGCCAAGCTCCTAATGAGTAGTTTTCTTGAGGCTTAAGCTGCCTGTGGAGTTTCCCAAGGGAATTTATTCTTGGAAGCTAAGTCCTCAGAAATGGCCTCCCCTGGGTGCACCTAGCCCAGGTCTACTGGATGTGGCCAGTCGGTTGGAAACTAGGACTTCCAGACCAGAGCCACAACCTGTAATTTGCAAGGAGAGACTAAGCATGCGTCTCTGCCCTAACGCCAGTGCTCATAATGGTGTCTGCCAGGGCTGCTTCCCTTTCTGGGGCTGCTTAGAGATCCTGCTTCCTCGCAAGCTTCTTGTGAGACCCTCACAATGAATTCTGGGACTGTGGGGAACCAAAGAGGAGACGTGAGGAATGTGCAGGACGTGACCCCCAGAATAAGACCAAGGTCTTCATCCGGTCATGGCCTTGGTTGGCTGGATTGTTACGAGCAGAATGTCTTGGGATTGTTTTGAACTAAATGTTCCAAAGTATTGTTATAACAACCTGACAGTAAGGACTTAAAAACCTTACATCACAGAAGTCTCTGGAGTGTGTATACATACTAGCAATAAAGTAGGCTGCCCAGTATTGACTGGCAGTCCCCCCGTTTCTATCCTGTCTTGTCTTTTCTTTAATCCTCACCCCCCCCCAACTCAGGAACTGTTCGCTATCGGTGGGTCCAACATGGGACTGTCACTCTAGAGAAATTATTCTCAACGAGGGGTGATGCTGTCCCCCAGGAAGACATTTTTGATTGTCACAATTGGGAGTGGAGTGTTATAAGCATCTGCTGCACGGACACCAGGATGCCTTAAAACATTCCGTGATGTACAAGACGGTTCCCTCTGCCCCAGCAGGAAATTAGCCAGCCCAATGTCAAGAGTGCCAAGGTTGAGAAACCCTGATCCAGAGAGCTGCTAACGCCATGAACTGGCTCCGGTAATGCCCAGCTTCTGAAACTCTCCATTCTGAATTTTTTTTTTTGGGGGGGGTAGATTTTTGCTATAGAGTGCACTCATCAGAAAGACAGAGAGAGACAGAGAGACAGAAAGTGAGAAATCACCCCCCAGGCGGGATGGCCACACTGCAATCCTTTCTCCTCTCGGGATCTTGGGCACGCACGCACACACAACTGGCATGAGTTTTGAACTACCAGGTCCAGGACTCGAACAATGGTCAACCACATGGGAGTCCAGTGACACAACCATTGTGCTATCTGCTGATCCCTCTCCATTCCAGATTTTAATTTACAGAGGAGAACTTGACTAGCATAGCTTAGGTATTCATCCACCTCTGGATGGATCAACTGTGTCCAGGAAAAGAAAGTCACTTAATATAGACTTGGTCACTAGGGGCTCTTCTCTTGGCCTGGCGATGTCCTAGAGGGAAAAAAATGACTTTCTGTGGACCATGAATCTCAAGAACAGTGAGGACAGAGGCCAGACAGGGCTCCTCCCCTTTAGGAAGCCCTTTAAGCCCCTGTCAGTAAAGTGACCGACCTGTCTGTTGGGGTGTCCTTCTGTCCTGCACATGTTTGGACTCACCAAATTATGACTTGTTTGTTCATGTGTCTATCTCTTCTAAGAGACTTGGAGCTCTTCATGGGGTAAAACTGGGTCTTACTCATCCCTTACACTCAAAAACCAATGTCAGTGTTCTAGTTACATAACATCACAGCATAATAAAACACCAGAACTTAGTCACTGAGAATAACAACCTTTCGCTTCAAGATTTCATGAGTCAGGAATTTAGGCAGGACTCAGCTTGATGATTCTTCTGTTCCATACAGCCTCAACTAGGGTGACTCAGTGGCATTCAGCTGGCCATGAGGTTAAATAGAGGGTCCAAGATAGCGTCTCACATAACTGGGGTCCCAGTGGGACAACTAGAAAGCGCCCTTGGCTGTGCCCCCTCTTTTTTCTTAGGGCCTCTTCACATGATCTTTCTAGAAGGGTAGCCATATTTCTTACATCGCAGATCAGGGTTTAGGGATCCAAAAGTAAATGTTTAGAGAAGGCCTAGGCCAAAACTGAAAGTCTTCATTTTCTTTTTTTTTTTTTTAATTTTGCTAGAGGGTACATGCACTCACCAAAAGTGAGAGAGAGAAAGCACTAGGGACCAGCAGATGGCACAATGGTTATGTTACTGGACTCCCACGCCATCGACTACAGTTCAAGTCCTGGGCCTGGCGGTTTAAAACTCACACCAGGTGCATGTGTGTACATGCCTAAAATCCTGAAAGGAGAATGGAAGAGAAGGGATTGCAGCATGGTCATCCCCCCGGGGGTGATTTCTCTCTTTCTGTCTCTGTCTGGCGAGTGCACGCACCCTATAGCAAAGTTAGAGAGAGCTGAAAAAGCACCTCTGGTAGGGTATAGTCACACTGCAATCACTTCTCCATCTCCCTCCTCTTGGGATTTTGGGCATGGACTCACCTGCACCCAGCATGTTTCTCAAGTCACTGGGTCCAGAGCTCAAACCTCACTGTCAGCCATGTGGGACCCAGTCATCTTAAACACCAGGCTACAGAGCTGGCCCGTGAGAGGTATTTTAAAACCTCACATTAAAAGTTCCAGAACATTAGGGACCAGCAGTTGGCATAATGACTATGTTGCTGGACTCCCTTGTAGTCGACTGTGGTTCAAGTCCCGGACCCGGTGGCTTAAACTCACACCGGACGCATGTGCATGCGTGCCCAAGATCCCAAGAGGAAAATGGAGGAGAAGGGATTGCGGCATGGCCATCCCCCCTGGGGGGTGATTTCTCGCTTTCTGTCTCTCTGTCTCTCTGTCTGTCTTGCGAGCGCACGTGCCCTATAGCAAAAACCTCTCAAAAAAAAAAAAAAGTCCCAGAACATCATTTCAGCTGCTTACTGTTGGTCACGCAAGTCACTCAGAACAGCCCAGATCTAAGGGAGTGAATTAGCCCCCACTTCTTGATGTGAGGAGCAGCATGCATGAACGGGGGGAGGAAAGAAACTCATGGCGATTATACTTAGAGGTGATTTCTCACAGCCTAGTACAGGACTCAACAGACATTTAACAGATCATCTGAAGACAGTTTACCCCTACTGAATTCACCCAGTTGATGCAAGAATTAAACGAAAGTAAAGAACACGAAAAAATGCTTTCGACACTATCAAATACTACAAAGAGGTATGGAATTCCCATTAAGAGTAAATTCGTGGAACCAGCAGATGACATAATGGCTACGTTGCTGGACTCCCATGTAGTCAACCACTTAAAGTCACGCCGGGTACGTGTGCACGTGTGCATGTGCACCCAAGATCCTGAGAAGAAAATGGAGAAGGAATTGTGGCATGGCCATCTCCACTGGGGGGTGATTTCTCGCTTTCTGTCTCTCTGTCTCTCTCTTGTCTTTCTGGCATGTGCAAGTGCCCTATAGCAAAAATCTTTCCAAAGGGAAAAAAAAAGGGTAAATTTACTAAGTTTATTCTATAAAGTTTTTGGGCAAAATTTGCAGAGTTGCCTCCACCATTCTCCCCTCTCACTTGCAGAGGTTCATGACAGACATCACTAATCAAGCACAGCTCTTTTGGGGGGGTATATATAGAGATTTCTGCTATAGGGCATATGCACTCGCCAGAGAGAAACAAAAAGAGAGAGAGAAAGTGAGAAACCAGGGGAGGTGGCCATGCTGCAATCCCTTCCTTCTCCTCCATTCTCCCCTTGGGATTTTGGACATGCATGCACACGCGCCCGGCGTGGGTTTCAAGCCGCTGGGTCCGGGACTCAAACCATAGTCGACTGGATGGGAGTCCAGCAACATAAACATTATGCCATCTACTGGTTCCCACAGCTCTTTTTCAATGATGCCAGAAATGATCTCAGAATCCTTCTCAACACAACACTCCAGTCGTTCACTACTAATTGATCAAAGGGGATACGGAAGTTGATATCTACTTGTTATCTATCCTTATTCCTGCCTAAATTCCTGTTGCCAAACATATCCTCCAAAAGCCTGGGGTTTTGTTTCTTTAAACATACACACAAGCTGCTTCCTTTTATTTATTTTTAGAAGAAAATATCAATTTTAAGCTCAAGGAAGATGAAATAGCAGACACCAACGCCCTCCAAAATTGGATTTATAATGAAAAAAGCTGATGATGGTGATGAACTCTGCCATTATGAATTATTTTAAAAGAAAATAACCGCATGCAAGAGTAGTCATGTGACATCACATAAAGAAGAGAATCTATCTACCCCGATACATTTTTCTCCGTGAAAACTCCATTTCAAGGTGAGGCAAGCTAAAACTTGTGTACCTGGATGAATGAAAGGCACGCTAGCTGACCGCCATCTGCTCCACGCTCAATGTCATCCATGGACTCTCCCAACACTGATCCTGGTGGCTGCCCAACTTTTTAGGAAATTTGGAAAATACATTTCAACCATTCAACTACAATCCTCAAGAAAAGACAGAGACGAAAACACAATACAACACAATATAGCCTCTAGTTTTTTGGATTTGTGTGTGTGTGTGTGTGTGTGTGTTTTTGAGAGGTTTTTGTTATAGGGCACGTGCGCTTGCCAGAAAGACAGAGAGACAGAAAGCAAGAAATCCACCCCCCAAGCAGGATGGCCACGCTGCAATCCCTTCTCCTCTGTTCTCCTCTCAGGATCTTGGACACACACGCACACATGTCCAGTGTGAGTTTAAGCCGCCAGGTCTGGGCCTCAAACCGCAGTTGACTACATAGGCGTCCAGCAACATAGCCATTACACCAATTGCTGGTCCCAAATCGGCCTCTTGTTCTAAAATGGTTTTCTGTAATCTGATGGTTGAAGACACAACACCAGCAAAATGTCAGACCTTCAACAGAGTGGGTGGCCCCCAAGCTGTTCTCCTTCCTCAGAGTCCTGCCCCTGCCCTCAAGCATGAAAATCATACATTGAAAATGACCGAGAGAGTTGGGGAGGCCAGCTAGATGGCCTAAAGCCACAGGATTTGGAAGGAGGAGACGTGGGTTCAGATCTTAAGGATGCCACCTCCTATCAGTTCCCCTCACGTCTATGGGCTCATTTACGTACCTGTGCAGGTGAGGGGAGCGATATTAAGGATGAGACTGAGGGAGCAGGACAGATCAGAGGCCGTGATGGATGGGAAAAGAGGAGCCCGCTTTTTCCAGCTGTGCCTGGAGCCACTGGCAGAGGATGGAACAGAACAGTTGGATAATCAGCTTTCCCAATGTCATCTTCCCAGCTTCCTCAGACGCGGAAAATCCCAGACTACTTAGCTGCCCTTCTGTGCATGGCAGAGAGCAGGCTGAGAGACTGCAATCATGGTTCACGGAGCCATGTTCCAGCCCGTCTGCCTAAGAACATCCCAAGTGAAAGAGCACAGCTAACCCCCTAGTACTGCGCTGCAAACCAGCCCTGCATTGTGTTTTACAATCCTATGAAGAAAGTACGAGGTATGATTCTCACGTTACACAGAAAGAAACTGAGGAACAGAGAGGTTAAGTAGCTTACCTGAGGTTTCCCAGCTAATGAGGGGCAGACTTGCAACTCAACCCCACAGAATCTGGCTGCAGAGGCTTTGACACCACGAGGCTACACTCTATCCAGAGCATAGGATGGCTGGAAGCAAGTTGGGGTCAAACAGTTAGGTTGGAAACAATCTCTCTCCCTCCACTTATTCTTGGAAGCAGGATTTTCAGCCTCATACTGCAGAATAAGAGTGGCGGATATAAACACAGGCAAATCTCACATTTGATGCCAAGCATTATGGTAAGTGAAAAAGCGGAAGAGTGAGACATATGATGCCATTTACATAAAGCTCTAACACTTGTGAAAGATGTATTTACTACCTAGAGATTCGTACACACGTAGCAACAGCAAAAAGACATTCCTGGAAATGATGAACATCACCTTCAAGACTCAGTTTAGGGCCGGAAAAGAGTACACCGAAGGCTTCCAATATATTTGGAATTTTAAATATCAAGTTATGGCGCCAGCAGGTGGCATGGTGGTTAAAGCACTGGACTCCTAGGGGACCAGCCGGTGGTGTAATGGTTACATCACTGGACTCCCATGGAGTAGACCGTGGTTCAAGTCCCAGGCCTAGCAGCTTAAAACACACCAGGTACATGTACCTGTGTGCCCAAAATCCTGAGAGGAGAATGGAGGAGAAGGGATTGTGGCATGGCCATCCCCTCAGGGGGTGATTTCTCACTTTCAGTCTCTCTGTCTGTGTCTTTCTGGCAAGCACAAGAGCCCTATAGCAAAAAAAAAAAAAAAAACCAAACCCAAAAAACAAAAAACAAAAAAACACAACTCTTTAAAAAAATAATAAAGTACTGGACTCCCATGTGGCTGCCCACAGTTCAAGTTCTGGACATGGCAACTTGCTCTGTCACCTTCCCTTTTTCTCTCTCTCTCTGATCAAATTAAAATAATAATAATCAGGGACCAGCAGTTAGCATAATGGCTATGTCGCTGGACTCCCACGTAGTCGACCGCAGTTCGAGTCCCGAACCCGGTGACTTAAACTCACGCCAGGCGTGTGTGTGTGCCCAAGATCCCGAGAGGAGAATGGAGGAGAAGGGATTGCGGCATGGCCATCCCCCCTGGGGACTGATTTTCTGCTTTCTGTCTCTCTGTCTCTCTCTGTCTCTCTCTGTCTATCTGGCAAGCACACGCACCCTATAGAAAAAACTCTCCAAAAAATTTTTTTAAAAATAAAAATAATAATAATCATCATAAATTAAATAAATAAATAAATAAATAAATAATTTTTAAAAAATATCACATAGGATGATAGGAACATGGATTTTCAGTAAATTACCCTTTATGTCTTCAGTATGTCTAAAATATTTCCTGGGACCAGCAGTTAACGTAATGGCTATGTCGCTGGACTCCCATGTAGTCGACCACGGTTCAAGTCCTTGACTCGGTTTAAATTCACGCCAGGCGCGTGTGTGTGTACGTGCCTAAGATCCCAAGAGGAGAATGGAGGAGAAGGGATTGCAGTGTGGCCATCCCCCCGGGAGGGGGGTGATTTCTCACTTTCTGTCTCTCTGTCTCTCTGTCTCTCTGTCTTTCTGGCAAGTGCATACTCTGTATCGCAAAAACCTCTCAAAAAAAAAAAAAAAAAAGGTAAAGTATTTCCTAATTCAAGAAACAATTGTCCAGTGCTAACAATTCAGTGTTGACATCTGGTTCATTTGTTGTCCCTTCAGATATATCAGCTTCATCCCTTTAAATCAGGTGATGATCAGGTGGCCTTGAGCATCTGCTGATAGTAACAAGAGCTGACATTTATTGACAGCTTAGTGTATGCTAACACTGTGCTGAATGTTTTTCATACATCAACTCACTTACATCCAAAATAACTTCATAAGGTTAGGAAGTATTACTATCCCCATCTTACAGACGAGGAAAGGAAAACTTAAGAGGATGTAATAACTGTCTCTGGCTCCTCAGCTGTCTGTGGCAGAACCTAGATTTGAACTCATGTACATCTGAGCACAAATCCTGAATTCAAGGAGAACTTTAATGTGCAGGGAAGAGACAGCGAAGAAGGATGGCATGCTCTAGTCCTAGGCTTCTAGTTCATAGTGGACACTGTGGTACCTTCATTTCTCCAGCTGCTGGGAGTGCGACCAGCTGCCAGCTCTCAGTAAGCCCCTCTCCAGGACTTGCTCTTGGCTAAAGAGAGATGACTCACCCAAGGTCGCAGGTTTTTCCTGGAGCAGCAACGTTCAGTGACTGTCAACTGTTCACTGTTGATGGGAGGACATTAAGTCTCAGCCCTTGCCCAACTCTGAGGGCCATCCAAATTCCACAGCAGAGACTGTCACTGTGACCACATTGTGAATCAACATCTCTCCCTGCCCACACCACATCGGTCCCTCTCCCACAAGGTGGGCTTTCAGTCCACTCCTTAAGAAAGTTCTTGAACACAGCTCTCTACCTCAGACCGGCTCCCCAAGGCACGGGCCTGGACCACGCTACAGACGGGGAAGAAGGTCTCACTCAGGATACCAGAATGAGCCCATGCTGCCCTGTAGGTTTCTCAGGGTGTGGTCAGGAGGACCTGAGAGTTGCAGAGGCTTCCTGGAGAAAGTGAGGATTAAGCTGAAGCTTGAAAGACAGGGGGAATTTGAATATTAACCTGCCGTTAAAAGAAATGAAATGCCAATTTTTCCATCTAAAACATGGATGGCCTTTGAAAACATGCCAAGTGCAAAAACCAGACTCAAAAGACCACACATGTGATTCCGTTCTGATTCTGAAATGCCCAGTGCTGAGGAATCTGTGGAGACCGTGTACTAGGGCTCACCTCCGTCTGGCAGCATAGGGGGAACAGGGAGGCAGCAACTGAAGGGCCCAGGGTTTACTTTCAAGGTGAAGAAATGTTCTATAATTAACTGTGGTGAAGATTGCACAGGCCTGTGAATGCGTATACTAAAAACCATGCAATCGCACAGTGTAAGCTGATGGATTGTATGGCAAATAAATTCTCTATTTTTTTTTTTTTTAACATGAGGTATATGAGGCTGTGGTCAGTGTAACAAGGACACTTTTTTTACAGCAATTTTTTTTATAAATTTACTCTAAAATAACAATAAAAGTATAGAATAGCAGATACATAAGCTGGTAACATAGTTGTTTATTACTGCTATCAAGTATTATGTACTGTAATTACGGGTGGTACACTTTTATAAGATGGCGGTGCAGTAAGTTTCCATACCATCGTCACCACAGGCATGTGAGTAATGCATTGTGCTATAATGTTACGATGGTATGAAGGCTACGAAGTCACTGTCACTAGATAATTGTAAATTATGATTTTTTTGTTATTTATTTTTATTTACTATTTTTTAAAATACATTCAATCACATTATTTAGCTTACAAGCTGATCATTTCAATATATGAACATTTCTCCCCGGTCGAGTTGATCAAAATATAACAACACTACCTCCCTGTCTCAACAAAATTCTATCTTAGTAAAGGTCTTTTTTAAATCAAGACATGGAAGAATGTGGAGAGAATTGCAGATAAGCAAAAACATGTGTAAAATGTGGGACCCGCAGCTGGCATAATGGCTATGTTGCTGGACTCCCATGTAGTGGACTGCGGTTCAAGTCTTGGACCGCTTCAACTCATGCCAGGCACGTATACGTGCTCAAGATCCCAAGAGGAGAATGGAGGAGAAGGGAGTGCAGCGTGGCCATCCCCCCTGGGGGGGGGTGTTATTTCTTGCCTTCTGCCTCTCTGTCTCTCTGTCTTTCTGGCAAGTGCCCGTGCCCTATAACAAAAACCTCTCAAAAAAAAAAAAAGTGTAAAATGTGAGACCTGAGTGTGAGTTAGGTGGGGGGAGTAGAAAGCCATAGAGACGTCTATGAGGCTGCAGCCAGGAAAGGAAGGCTTATAGCCCAAGCAGGGAGAAAGCGTGCCCTAGGAGATCTGGGAGTAAGGAGATGAAAATGGGGCTTTCAGCTGATAGTGGTTAAGGTGCAGAAAGGATGGTGGGCACAGTGGGGAGGCCGAGAGACCAATTGGTGGACTAGAACCATGTTCTTGTTACAAGTTATTACTTGGTTTAACACACACACACACTCACTCACGCACACGTGTTGGTGTTAAGTGTCCTTTCGAGTCTTTCTTGACTCTGTTGAGCTCATCCCTGTCTCCCCACCAGTCTGCCTATCTCACAAACTCGACACTCACCCACATCAGTTTCCACATCCATGCTCTTATAAAGCCCTTTTCCAGGTTCTAAGAGTCTCCCTCGAGATGGCAGTGAATTTAGAAGGGTTCTCACCTTCCCTTTGAATCTTGTCACCTTACATCAACGGTGCTTTCTCACCTCCTAAACTAAAGCAGCGTTTAAAGAGAGATGTTTATTTTGTTAAAGATAAAAGTTGGCCAGTCCCCATAGCACAGTGGTTAAGTGTTGTGCATTAGAAGCCAGGTTCCACTTGGCCAACTGTGGTTCAAATCCCAGCCCTGGTAGCCAGAAAAACATGTTGGGCATATGTGTGTGTATGCCACAAATCCTGGTGGGATGAAGAAATGGAGGAAAAAGAATTGTGACATGTCCATTCCCCATTGTGGGCTTGCTCCCTCCTGGATTCTCTCTCTCTCTCTGTCTCTCTCTCTCTCTCTCTCTTTCTCATATGCATGTGCCCTCTGGCAATTATAAAAATGGTAAATATCATCTTTCTTATCCCACAGGAGCTCATCCCTCTCCCATCCTGAACTTCATTAAATCACTCTAACCTACTGTCCAGGATGAGCTGAGACTCCACTCACTTCTCATCATGAATGAAGTCAGTCAAATGAGACTGCTAGGGTCAAATCCCAAACAGGTTTCTCCAGAAACACAGGGGCCAGTAAGTGGCATAGTGGTTAAGATGCTGGACTCCCACATGTCCTACCATGGCTCAAGTCCTGGATCCAGTGGCTTAAAACTCATGCCAAGTGCATGTGCATGCATGTCCAAAATCCTGAGAGAAGAATGAATGAGAAGGGATTGTGGTGTGGACACACACCCCTGTGGGAGTGATTTCTCATTTTCTGTCTCTCTGTCTCTCTCTGTCCTTCTGGCAAGCACACATGCCCTATAGCAAAA